AACGGGGGACACGGGCTGCCCCGGCTGAACCTGCTTGAGGTGCACAGCCCAGGCGTCCTCCTGCCTCCCTGCCAGGAAAAGATGTGCAATTAGGCTGGAGCTGGCTCGGGGAGGGAGCTGGGGCCGGGCTCTCACCATGGCTCACAGCAGGTTCAGGGGCAGCTGTTGCAGGTGAGTGCTGCCATCCCCCTATCTTTGAATTTGGGTTGTGGGGACAAAGGGCTCTGGTGCTGTTGCCAGCCTGTAGCTTTGCTGGTGGTGGCCGGGGAGGCTGGTGGGACTTGGAGGAAACAGGGGAGTTCTCCCAACCCAGGCAGGACACGTGAGCGATGCCCCTCTGTCCAGGTGACGTCCCCTGTGTGTGGATTTTTGTTATCCTGTGGGATAATACTGCTTCCTTGGCTCATTTGGACTGAACCAGCTCAGGATCAGGCCCCTGGGGTGTATCAGACAGGGGATGACCCCAGCTCATCTGCCCTTTGAGCACGGGTGGAGATGGAAATGTTAAGTAATGTTTAAAATGCAATGTGCAAGTGAGATTCCTGCTTTTGCGTGGGACCAGGCGGCCGGAGCCAGTGGATGAGGTCTTGCAACAGCCTGGCTGGTCCTGGCTGAGCTGGGAGGCTGTGTCAGCCCCACAGCCCCCCTGGGGCACAGCGTCCCCTCCAGCCAGCAAAGCCACCTGCTTGCTCACTCTCACGCACCTTTCTCGGTGCTGTTGGCACTGGCTTCTCCCCTTGTTCACGTGCAAAGTGTTCAGAGGCTGAGCTGAGGCAAGTTTGGAAATTGCAGCCTGGGAACCTTCTTTGGGTGTAAAGTACATGCAGGGGGGCTGGATGGAGAGGTTCTGCAATGTCCTGAGGCTCGTAGAGCTGGGAGTGTGAGAAATACAGAGGGAAATATTTATTGGGCATTTGAAGAGGAGCTTAAAGTCATTTTCTGGCTGTGTTTGTGAGCAGATGTTTGGGAGGGGGGGTGGTCAGGGATCCAGCACTGGAAAAACCTCCTGCAAACCCAGGGCAAGGCTCACCCTGTCTCTAACTTCTCCCGTCTCTCGGTGCCACAGGTTGGAGGCTTTGCCTGGGAGAACTGTGGTGACAAAAAGGACCCCGTGGTGCTGCAGAGCCTCTCCGTGGCACCTGACCCCATCACCATCCCCGGGAGCCTGCGCGTCAGCGCGGCCGTCAGCAGCGGCACGACCATGGCCTCCCCTCTGAAGGTACGTGCTGGAGATGCCTCCGTGGGACGAGGGAGGGCAGAGCTTCCTTTAACCACCAGCAGCTGGGAAATGCCCAGTGGTGGGTACGGGAACGAGCAGCCGTTGGGGGAATGAGGCATGGAGCGGTGCAGGGCTGAGCCCACCGGGCTCCATAAGCATGAGAATAGGGTGATGGGCATGGGGAGACCCACCATGGGAGCAGACAGCCCAGCGGGAAGCTCCCAACCTTGTCCCAGTGGGAGAAGCCACCTGAACTGTGTCATGTCCTGGGGAGGGAAATGAAACCCCAAGTGCCCTGGATGAAACTTGGGAGGGAAATGAAACCCCAAGTGCCCTGGATGCTCCCGGCAGTCACTGCAGCACTTGTTTTTCGGCAGTCAGACCCGGCTGCTCCCTCCAGGGAAATGCCATGGCACCGCTGTGGGAGCCCTTGGCCAGCTTGGCTGCCTTACACCACTTCTTGGGGACTTTTTGGAATGAGATGGAGCACGTCTCTCTGCCCAAGGCGCATGGGCTGTCTTGAGCAATTCCACGGTGCCTGTTTGGGGCTGGGGCTGCGGGAAGCGTGCCGGAGGAATGTGGAATCAGGGCTGCAGGATGGGAGCTGCCCGGTGGTTTTGGGACAGGTCACCGAGGAGAGGGGAAGGAGCAGGTGTGTGGGGTGCTGGGAGGTGTCTGCTCAAGGCGTCAAGCTGAGGTTGGAGGAAGAGAAACGTGCAGGCAGAGAGGAACCGAAAGCACGAGGAGGAGGTGGGAGGGCTTGCAGTGGCCCTGTGGGCACCCAAAATTGTTGCACGAGTGGGAGCTGAGGGAGATGGCTGGGGCGGGGTGGGTGGGACAGTCTGGAGGAGTTGTGGGTGCCTGTTCTGGTTGCACCGGTGCTGAACACCTTCCCTTCCAGGCAGTGCTGGTGGTGGAGAAGGCGCTGGGTGACCTCTGGATCCAGTTACCCTGCATCGACCAGCTGGGCAGCTGCACCTACAACGACGTCTGCACCATCCTTGACAACCTCATCCCGCCTGGAACGACCTGCCCAGAGCCCCTGCTCACCTACGGCATCCCCTGCCACTGCCCCTTCAAAGCGGTACGCCTGAACCCCTCCCCACCGGGTACCACCGTGCCCTTTGGCGTGGGGCTGGGGGAGGCTGGGCTGACACCTTGCTGACGTGTCCCCTCTCTCTGCAGGGCTCCTACTCCTTGCCAGCCAGCGACTTTGACGTGCCCGACGTGGAGCTGCCTGCCTGGATGACCAACGGCAACTACCGCGTCCGGGTGGCTGTCAGCAACGGTGGGAAGGAGCTCGCCTGCGTCAAGCTGGCCTTCTCCCTGCAGTCCCAGTGAGGGGTGGGGGATCGTCCCTCCTCTCCCCACCGCCTTAGTCCCCTGTCCCATCCCATCCAGTTGCGCCCCATCCCATCCCTGCAAGGTGTGTCCCTCCTCCTGCCAGGAGGAGGCAGCCCCCGTACCCCCGCTTGGTGCCCCCCTCCCCTGCTACACACAGAAAGACCCCTCTGGCTGTCCTGCTGTCCCCAACTCCATCACCAGGGTGTCACTTGCCCCAGAGGAGGTGGCCTTGGGACCTAACCCCAGCTTTTCACTGGGGTAGTTATTTTTTACCCAGTTTCTCTCTCTTTTTTTTTTTTTTTTTTTTAAATTTTCTTAGTCCCATCAGGTCAATTTTAGACAAAAACATTCCAGGGAAAAGCAATATTTCTTGGAGCAGTCCATGGGGAAGAGGGAGTGTTTGGGAGTGCTGGGGCAGGCTGGAGGGATGCAGGATTAGCTGTGGAGGGTGTCCCCACTTGTCTCCACCACCTCTGGCCAGAGCACAGGGCTGTTTGCAGAAGCATCCCCGAAGTGGCCGCAGGAGCCCTGTCCGTCCCCCCCCGAGCAGCTCTGGGTCTGACTTTCGTGCAGCCCTGTCCTGGGCGTGGGACCAGCTCCGCAACACGAGGTACTGGTGGGAGCACCTCCCCGTGTCCCTCCTGCCACAAACATCACCAGCCCAACAGGACTGAAACTGCCCAAACCCCTGATGGCTGTTCCCACTTGCAAGGGACCAAGTGGCCGGTGCTGCTCCCAACAGCAGGAGAGGTGGCCGGACCCTGGCTGCGCTCGCTCTGGGGACATGCAGGGCTGTGACAGGCAGCTGGGGCACAGCCCGGCCAAGGACAAGTCCCACTTATCTCATTTTGCCACTGGGACTGGGCCGAGGCAGGATGCTGCACTGGGACCATCCTTCCCATGCATCAGCAGAAGCACCCTCACAACGTGGAGCAGCACCCCGGACATGGGATGGACTGGGAGGTGACCATGAAGACCAGCAGCCTGGGTCCTGGGGGCACCCTGCAGCCCATCTCCTGGTTGTGAGTGGGGGCCGAGGCGTGGGCAGGCAGCATCCTTCCTGCCTGCAGCTCCGGGCAGGGTGTTTGTCTGCTGTCACCCGCCTATGCCAGGTCCCCGCAAGGCAGGGATGCAGGTGACCCACCAGCCACCCACATCCCTTGCTGTCTCCCAGCTTGCTCACATTATTGAGCCCCTCCGTAGAGCTGGTCTTTCTCCAAGCACTTTATATGCCTTAACTACTGCCGGGCTGCCCCGGGGGAAGGTCCTTTGCCACGCAGATGTGCTCCCCCCGCCTTTCTGTGCCCTCCACTCGTGCCGTTTCATCCCGCTGCTGGGTCCGACCTCGGGTTTGGTTTGTCTGGAGAAGCACTAACCCTCGCACCCCGCTCCCCGCCGCCATGCAGCGCCTGTGCCAGGGCAGCATCCTCCTTGCAGGAAGGTATTGCAGGTTCTTAATAAATCTTTTTACCAGGAAGTGGAGCTGCTGCCTCTTGGTGCTGGGGGTGACCTGGGGGTGGCGTTTGTTTCCCTTGACATAGGGGGGACGTG